TCAAATAACATGGAGAAGTAGGGAATAAATAAGTAAAATTTTTTAAAGGAGAATAAGTAAAAAAAGAGGGAGCTTCATGTAAAAAGGCAATTTGTAATAAAGAAGTATTTCTGAAGTAGCCAGTACGTATCCAGTTATTCTGCTTGCTTCTAGTCTTGCCTTTCTTAAATCTATTTGCAACACAGCAACCAAAATCATTTTTCTTTTTTCTTTTTTAAATTTTAATTGTTTTTAAAGATTTTATTTATTTGAGAGAGAGAGCACACACACAAGTCGGGGGGGGCAGAAGGAGAAGGAGAAGCAGACTCCCCGCTGAGCAGGGAGCCCTGGAATCATGACCTGAGCAGGTGCTTAACAGACTGAGCCACCCAGGCACCCCCAAAATCATTTTTTCAAAGACTAAGTTAGATCATGTCATTTCTCTGTTCAACATCTTCACATGGCTTCCCAGTTCATTTGAAGTAAAAGCCAAAGTCTTTGCAATGCCCTACAAGGCCTTGCATAATCCACTCACTCCCTTCCCCACCCTATCTCTATGATGTAACCTCCTCTCCCTTACTTACTCAGCACAGACCTCACAGGACCCTGTGCTGTTCCTTAGTCATGCCAGGAACACCTGCCTCAGGGCCTTTGCACTTGTGGTTTCCTCCTCATGGAGTCCTCTTCTTCAAAGTCACATCTCCTTTAAGACCTTCCTCAAATGCCACCTTCCCTGACCCTCCTGCTTAAAACTGTAATGTCTTTCCCATCCCCACCGCTGTCTAGTTTCCTTTCCTGCCCTCATTTCTCTCTAGCATTTCTCTCTATATTTACTGATTTATTTTGTTTGTAATCTGTCTTACCCCACCCTCCCTGCGATATAAGAGCCACCTCAGGGGTTTCTGTGTGTTTTGTTTATTGCTGCATCCGAATCCCTAGCATAGTGATGGCACTCTCCGTGGGATGAAGGAATGAATTCGTGAACTGTGCTAGGTGCTTTTATATGTGTCATCTCACCTACAGATTTCGGTAAAGATCTGATTTTCATAATAAGACATCACTAAATAGTAGCCATTATTATAATCACATATTTTTCTATTCAACAATGGGTGTTTCTGGAAATTAAAAATGGACTGAAAGCATTTTGAAGTTCCTGAAGATGGAATCTGAAAAACACTGTTTATTTTAACGTGTGGCTGTCCTTTAAAGGCATCTTACATAAGATGGAGATTCAGAGGAAGAAGTTGTTTTTAACTTCTTGGTATGAATGACAAGAAATTAGGAATTTTCCTGTAAATTTAAGTTGACCTTTTCTAATTTTAGCCTGAATTCCCCGACCCCCCCCCCCCAAAAAAATGATTTTTAAGTTTGTCCAAATGGTGCGTGACAGCAGAAGTGTGGGCCCGGCTGTCCCTGCTGCTGTCTTGTGGGAGATAAGACTGGCCCTACTGGACTGCTGGTATCCGTTACAGTGATGACATGAAAGAAATGTTTGTAAGAACAAATGTTTGGTTCCAGGCTGTAGCCTAATTTAATAGTGTGCTTGAAAAAAGCAGAGTTGATGATTCATTCCTAAACCCCTGGGGAGGGAGGGGTGATTGTAAACCATTTGGAAAGGGGTGAGAAAGCCTAACGTGATGCTAATGCAGAAATCTTAAACAACCACCGAGAAGTCTTGTCTGAACGCGATTGCATGCTGGTTTTCTCCCCGAATGATTTTAGCTCGGGGAAGACTGTGCGATTCAAAAGCCCTCTCCCTCTGCTCTGATTTGGGGAGTGGGAGGTTAGAACCGGATTGATTTGTTGATAGTTCCAGATAGTATGAAGTATTTGGATGAAAGATTACCCCCGAGGTTTCCATACTTGTGGTTTTCCTTAAGACATCACATGTGATTGTAATTTTTTTTTAGGGGCCACAACCCTAGGGAAACTTTTATGGAAGAAGGAAGAGAACTTTTTTCTTTTTCTTTTCTTTTTTTTTTTAACAGAAACTAAGATTTAAGACACATCAGCCATCTAAGTAGGTGGAGTAGACAGCTGCCGAGGGCAAGACCCAAAAACCCCTCCCACCGCTTGCTTGTGGATGCCTGAGACTTTGAAAATCAGGAATTCATTTTCTTGGATTAAGATTTCATCTATTAAAATACTAACAGCCCTCCTCAGGATCCTATGTGAAACTCCCTGAGCCATTTTCACTCTGATGGTAATGGCCTCCCTGGCTCCAGATCTAACAGGTTTTCCCAACTGGGTGGGGAGAGAGCGAGCGGATCCTGGCCCTTCAGAGATGAGGCTATAGGGTGAGAGGGGGTTGCAGGGGGAGACACCCCCAGAGGAGCCCACCAAAGATCACCAGATGGCGAGGAAGCACAGTAAGACAATGGGAAAGTTTTTCTGTCTGTAAAACCATTTTTACCCATTCGTACCATAGCCTCCCTGCCCTGCATACTGGAGGAATATAAGGTTGATATGGTAACATGGTCCAGAGAAAGCCCGCCCACCCGAGTCTCAGGCAACCCTAAACCCCAGTTGGGATTATCCTAGCACTTAATCCCTCAACGTTAGCCAAACCGCTTGCTTACTTTGACCAATGTTTTTCCATAACGACCAGAGCCATTCTAATGTACCATTTAAAAGGTATTGTATAAAAGACTTCTGACACCCTTCAGGGGGTTGGGGGGATGAATCTTTCTCCCGCACAGTGTTATAAAGGAGGGAAATCACTGCGGCTGTGTGGAAATGACTCGAGTCCTGCAGTGGTCTGTCAGCTCCTTGGACTAGTGTTACTGGTTGCATGGTTACCTCACTGACATAGCCATGACATTTTATTTTCACTTCTCACCACTTAACTTAGATATTTCCTTTCATGTAACTTTCAAAACAATTTAGGACCAGGGCACCTGGGTGGCTCAGTTGGTTAAGCGTCTGCCTTCGGCTCAGGTCATGATCCCAGGGTCCTGGGATCGAGCCCCGCATCGGGTTCCCTGCTTCTCCTTCTCCCACTTCCCCTGCTTGTGTTCCTGCTCTCGCTATGTCTCTCTCTGTCAAATAAATAAATAAAATATTTTTTAAAAGTTAAAATTAGAAAAAAACAATTTAGTACCTAAGAAGGGTGAAAAGGAGATTTTTATGAAGCTTGGCTTATTATGCCACTTAAAAATAATTTGCAGTATAGTGTATGTCTTTCTTCTTAAAGCTCCGACACAGCCGTTCAAAAAAAACCCCCAAAACTCCTCTTGTCCTGTAAAGATTACCAAGTTTTTTCACCATCTTTCATTTCTTTACCACATATTATGCACAGACTACGTAGCAGAGACTGGGCTGGGCGCTATGGCCTCAGAGCTGTGATGCACTGTCCCGACCTCGGATTGCTCAGTCTTGTCAATGGGAGGAGACAGACAAATTACCACCTGCTAAGAAGAGGAGGGAGGCGGAAGGTGCCCCACCCATACTGGGACGTCAAGAAAGCTTTTCTGTGGAAATGTAGTATCTGAGCTGAGAGTTTTAAGGGTGTGAATAATGTAAGAATTACCCAGAGGAAGAGGAATGTGTGGGGGCGGGGGAGGGAGGCGGGGGGGGGGGGTGCTGTTCCAGGCAGAGGAATAGCATATGCAAAGAAATAGTGGAGAGAGAACACTATCCTGTCTGTCTTCACTTCTCTAGGCCAGGGCCCAATTCTTACTCATCACTGGATCTCTGGTACCTGTCAGGCCTGTCATAAGTATTCATGAATATTTGTTGAACTTCAGTGAATTGAATTGCAAACATTTATTGCTGTTTTCTAGATGTTGGTGATGGGGTAGTGGCTGAAACAGAAGTTTCTGTTCTCGTGGTGCTAGGGGAGGCATTACTGTGAGTCAGCATTTACTAAGAACTTCCTACCTGCCAGGCACTGTCCAAGAGATTTATGTATTCACTTGTTCAATCTTCACAACAAGCCTGTAGTAGGTATTACAGTATTCTCCCAGTGTGTTACTGCTAAGGACACAGAGAGGTTAAGAGACTTATCCAAGCCTACCCAGCTTGTGAGCAGTGGAGCTGGAATTCAAAGTCAGGAAATCGTGGCTTCCAGAGTCAGTCCTAATCTCTACAGTGAGCCATTCAAAAATTTCAAGATGCCTTTCAGTCTTATTTTTGGAAAATGAAATAAAAAGAAACTCTAAATATCCACTCCTCCTTGATCCTTTTTCTCTTTAGCGACCTAAGATTTAATTTTATTTGGCATAAGCTTGTGAGAATAATAGACATTTTGAAAAGCAGGAGTGGGATTGGGGTGCCTGGGTGGCTCAGTCAGTTGAGTCTGACTCTTGATTTTGGCTCAGGTCATGATCTTGAGATTGTGGGATCAAGCCCTGTTTCAGGCTCTGAGCTCAGCACGGAGTCTACTGGAGACTCTTTCTTTCTCCTTCTCCCTCTGCCCCTCTCCCTGCTCGTGCACTGTCTCTAAATAAATAAATTAATTAAAAAGAGTAGGGTTAAAATTAAAGACAATATGGCCTTTAAAAAAGGAAAGAGGAGATAATCGTCATATCAGAAATCAAAAAGTATTAAAAATAGGGCGCCTGGGTGGCTCAGTTGGTTAAGCGACTGCCTTCAGCTCAGGTCATGATCCTGGAGTCCCGGGATCGAGTCCCACATCGGGCTCCCTGCTCAGCAGGGAGTCTGCTTCTCCCTCTGACCCTCTTCCCTCTCGTGCTCTCTATCTCTCATTCTCTCTCTCTCAAATAAATAAATAAAATCTTTAAAAAAAAGTATTAAAAATATACTGAATAAAAATAGAGGCATGGTGACTATAGTTAATGGTACTGTATCATATATGTGAAAGTTGCTAAGAGAGTAGATCTTAAAAGCTCTATGGAAGAAAAAATACTTGTAACTATGTGTGGTGATGGATATTTACTAGACTTATTGTGGTGATCATCTCCTAATATATACAAATATTGAGTCATTATGTTGTACATCTGAAATAAATACTATAATGTATGTCAGTTATATTTTAATCAAAAAAAAGAGAAATATATATAGCGCTCGCTTTGGCAGCACATATACTAAGATTGGAGTGATACAGAGAAGATCAGCGTGGCCCCTGTGCAAGGGTGACAAATTCGTGAAGCGTTCTATATTAAATATGTTTATGTGTGTGTGTGTGTGTGTATGTCTGTGACCCCCAGGCCCCTCTCACTCTTATCTACCTCCATTCTTTTTTTTTTTTAAGATTTTATTTATATATTTGGCAGACAGAGAGAGAGAGAGAGAGCAAGCAGGGGGAGTGGCAGAGAGAGAGGGAGAAGCAGGCTCCCCACGGAGCAGGGAGCCCGATGCGGGTCTCCATCCCAGGACCCCGAGATCATGACCTGAGCCCAAGGCAGATGCTTAACTGACTGAGCCACCCAGGCGCCCCGACTACCTCCACTCTTGATGGGGAGGTTTTGGTGGCCCTGAGAGGCCCCTGGGAATAGACAGTTACGTTTATCTCCTTTGTACAGGGTAAGGAAGCTTGCCTCCACCCTCTACCTGTGTAATGGGCGCTTGGGGATGGGGCAGACGTTAATCCGAGAAACCAGGGCCTGACAGGCTCCACCGTGGAACATACCATCCATCTGGCACCCCCCGCCCCGCCCCCGTGCCATTTTGTTGTTCGTGCTCATGTCCTTTTGCAGTTTCTTTCCTGCATGTCTTTGTTCCTAAGGAATAAAATTGTTATTGGACCTAGAAAAAAAATGTCGCAGATATATATATATACACATATATATATACATATATATGTGTGTATATAGGTACTTCTGCTGCCAGTTTCCTTCTCTCCCTAGACCTAAGAATTGGGAGGAACAGGGAGAAGGAATCAAATAAATATAAAACCTGCTGCTCTGCCCTCCACTCTATTTCCTAGCATTCCAAGTATAAAGCCAGCTCTCTCACATCAGATCCAGAAGTGAGAGGGAACTGGATATTATCTTAAGAAAAGTACTGACAAACTGATTCATTTTTTTCCCCCCGTAATATGGGGAGAACTTTAAAATTTTGTATAAATGAAATAAACATATTTTTATTATTTGATTTGAGCACTAAATTTCATAGATATATAGTGTGTATTTTACCAAACTGGCAACTGGAAACTATTAAAAACCAAGTTCTTTCTTTTTAAGTTTTTAATTTTAATTCTAGTATAGCTAATATATAGTGTTATATTAGTTTCAGGTGTACAATAAAGTAAATTCCGTACATCGCCCAGTGCTCATCCCAAGCACACTACTTAATCCCCATTTCTTATTTCACCTGTCCCCCGACCCACCTCCCCTCTGGTAACCATCAGTATGTTCTCTAGAGTTAAGAGTCTGTTCCTTGGTTTGTTTCCCTCTCTCTCTCTTTTGTCCTTTGTTTGTTTTGTTTCTTTTTTTTTTAAAGATTGACAGAGAGAGACACAGAGAGAGAGGGAACACAAGCAGGGGGAGTAGAAGAGGGAGAAGCAGGCTTCCTGCCGAGCAGGGAACCTGATATGAGACTCGATCCCTGGACCCTGGGATCATGACCTGAGCCGGAGGCAGACGCTTAACCAACTGAGCCACCCAGGCGCCCCTAGGTTGTTTTGTTTCTTAAATTCTACATATGAGTTAAATCGTATAATATTTGTCTGCCTCTGACTTATTTCGCTTAGCATTAGACTCTCTAGCTCCATCCATCCTATTGCAAAGGACAAGATTTCATTCTTTTTTTATACACACACATATTTCATTGTGTGTGTGTGTGTGTGTGTGTGTATCCCATCTTCTTTATCCATTTATCTATCCATGGTTACTTGGGCTGCTTCCATAATTTGACTATTATAAATAATGCTGCAATAAACAGAGGGGTGCATATATCCTTTTGAATTAGTGTTTTTGTATTTTTTGGGTAAATACCCAGTCATGCAATTACTGGATCATAGGGTAGCTCTATTTTTAACTTTTTGAGGAAACTCCATACTGTTTTCTACAGTGGCTACACCAGTTTGCATTTCCACCAACAGTGCAAAAGGGTTCCTTTTTCTCCACAACTTTGCCAACACATGTTCTTTCTTGTGGTTTTGATTTTAGCCACAAAAACCAAGTTCTTGAATGCCATGTTACCTTGCCTGATTCTGAGAAAGAGGATCTAGAATGGAAGTTCTGCACATTCCTCTAGTAAATGTCCTGATACTTCACAATTATAAACTCAATACACATGAAAGTAATGTAGCATTGTATCAACTATACTTCAATAGGGGCGCCTGGGTGGCTCAGTCGGTTAAGCATCTGCCTTCGGCTCAGGTCATGATCCCAGGGTCATCTTCTTCTGCCAATCTCCCTACTTGTGCTCTCTCTCTGTCAAATAAATAAATAAAATCTTAAAAAATAAATAAATAAAATGTTAAAATTTTTAAAAATTATAAATTTAGGGGTGCTTGTGTGGCTCATTGGTTAAGTGTCTGCCTTCGGCTCAGGTCATGATCCCAGGGTCCTGGGATGGAGCCCCGCATCGGGCTCCCTGCTCCATGGGAAGCCTGCTTCTCCCTCTCCCACTCCCCCTGCTTGTGTTCCCTCTCTCGCTGTGTCTCTCTCTGTCAGATAAATAAAATCTTTTTTAAAAATTACAAATTTAACATAGAAATTATAAATTAAAATAGTTATTAAAATTAATTTATATAACTTTACTCTCCTCTGGCCATCTTCCTCTCACTTAAAGCCTCTACACTGAGGACTGATATGCTATTTAGAAAGTTACCTTAACAAGGAAAGGGAACTATGCTAATTAAAAAAAAAAAATCAAGGAAAGGGAGTTGCTAGAAGCTTCACAAAGGATAGATTGGAAAGGATAAGGCAGGAGTCAAGTACGTGGATCCAGATTAGAGATAATGGAGCAGTAGTTGAGGGACTGGAGAGAAAGAGACAAGTTCAAGAGATTTAGGAAACAACTGGAATAGGATTTTAGTAATTGAGAATAGAAGAAAAGAGAGGATTTGAATGAGGAGCTAAGAACAATACTTGGATTTCTGGCTTCTGTGGTATCGCCCAACAAGACAAGAACCCAGAAGGGGCAGGTATGGGGTCGGGGGAGAAGGGGGGAAGATGAAGACTTTAAATTAGGACAAGTTGAATTTGATACATCTGTGTGGCCACCAAGTGGAAATGTGCAAAAGGGAGCTGTTGTCCTAGGGCTCAGAAGAGCTCTGGGAGGTCTGGGCTATCTAGGCAAATATTTTAGGAAGTCATCGGATTATGGGTGAATTTGGAGCTATGAGTTAGATGGGATCACCAAATAAAAGTGAGAATGAAATGAAGAGAAAAGGTGAGGGCAGACCCCAAGAGAATATAAGCATATAATAGTTAGAGAGGGAAGACTGAGAAAAAAATCATCAAAGGTCGGTGGGGAACCAGCAGAGTGTGATGTCACAGGTGCCAAAGAAGAAGGAACTTAAGAAAGAGGTGTGACCAATGGTCAACGACACACAGACGGCGTGTATATCAAAGTCTAAGAATTCCATAAGGGGTTGGGTGATATGGATGTCACCCTGGCCTTCTGCTGAGGTAGCTTCACTGTTCGGGTGGGAATGGAAGCCAGCTGCAAGTGGATAAAGTAGTGAATGCAGAGGGTAGTAAAGAAACAGTGATGGCTTCATAGAGTAATCTTTGAAGAAGGTTGTGAATGAAAAAGAAAGTGTTGGTGTAGAAGATAGAGGCCTTTTTTTCTCTTTAAAGATAAAAAAGCTTTATAGACTAAGGGAAGAGAGCAGTAGAGAGAGGATTGAGGTTATAATATAGAATGCGTGAGTGAGAAGACGAAAGCATCCCAGAAAATAAAAACGGATGGCATCCAGGGTAGCCTTGATCAGGTACTGGAATACCCTCTCAAGTGAGGTGGAAGGAGGACATGATCAGTTTAAATGAAAATAAGTCTCTAGTTGGGTGGAGGGAGGGTAAAAGATTGAGGGAGTTCCCATCTAATGATGGTTTGTGGAAAGGGGTCATGAGGAGAGTGGTAAAGGTTTGGAAGCATCATTGAGAAATTTAGGGTGGGGGGGTGATTTAAAGACCCGTAGGATGACTGCACAGCATTGTGGAGGATCTGTCTGTGGTTGGAGGTCGTAAATTTATAGTTGTGCTAATTTGCACTGTATATGCCAATCGACCGGTCACGGGGGCAAAGATCAGACTGGAGTTATGACTGGATTGGTCCAGGCAATGGAGCCATAAGGCTTTTTCCTTTATTTTAATTTTTTATGGAGCCATAAGACTTTAAAGGCTCTAGGGGAGATAATTGCCTAAGGTCATACACCCAACAGGAACAGAGCTAGATTTGAGCATAAAGTTGACTAGCTTGATAACCTTATCTGAGCTGTGAGGCTAAGGTGCTTGTAGGTCAACTATATTGAGAGGGAGGCTACCTAGGTCAATACAGGCCCTGGAATGAAGACAAAGCCTAAGGTCCAGATGCCAAAGTACTGGATGGATGTTTCATGGTTCAACAGTTAATAAATATCTATTGTTCCAGTGTTGAGTCAGGCTTTCAACCATCAAACACCACCTTTTATTCAATCATGTTAGAGATTCTTTAAAGTATTTTTGTTTTGCAAAATAAAACATATCTATAGAGAAACTGGAAGAAGACATAATTTAAAAATTAAATATAATGCAAAGTAAAATAGTGAGATACCACTACACACCTATTAGAATGGCCACAGTCCAAAATACTAACACCAAATGTGGACAAAGATGTGGAGAAACAGGGGCTTTTATTCATTGCAGGCAGGAATACAAAAAGGTACAATTACTTTGGAAGACAGTTTGGCAGTTTCTTACAAAAATAACATACTCTTACCATACAATCCAGCAATCTGCCTTATTGGTATCTTACTCAAAGGAGTTGCAGATGGGTGTCTGGGTGGCTCAGTTGGTTAGGCGACTGCCTTCAGCTCAGGTCATGATCCCAGAGTCCTGGGATTGAGTCCCACATCGGGCTCCCGGCTCGGCAGGGAGCCTGCTTCTCCCTCTGGCCTTCTCCCCTCTCATGCTGTTTCTCTCTCTCTAATAAATAAATAAAATCTTTAAAAAAAAAAAAAGGAGTTGCAGATTTATGTCCATGCAAAAACCTGAACATGGCTATTTACAGTG